TGCAAGATAGAAACACATCCTTACATTAAAATGAATGGAGCTGATCATTTGATATTATTTATAGGTCATCATTATTCCACTTGCTGATTGATTACCACTATAAATGATCATAAATGATTTACTGGGACTCAAAATACAAGTAAAAATATATTGTTCTGTTCAGAGTTCAGAGTTCATTAGAAAGTACCGATGGTGTAGCTACTGTCAGTGTGTGTGTGTGTGTTTGTGTGAGATAAACCAGTGGGAGGGCAACACTGATAAGTTGTTACATGTTCACACTCTACGCTGTGTGTATACACACGCTTGTTTAGAAAGAATGCATATGTGTGTATAAGTCTATTGCTCATAAGGACTGGTGTATTTCAAGTGTTTTAAGGTTCACATGTAGTTTCCATTATTAAACCAACAAGGATGAGGTTCCCTTGTATAATATCTGTCCCTTTTCCTTTTCATGCTGTGTGCCTCCTTCTTTCTCTGTAGATAAGGTGGGGCTAATGGGGAACTGTCTGCTAAGTTAAGGTTCTTATCCAACAAACACATTTTGCAGTGTTTATCAACTAAATAGCAACAGCTTTTTCTGTTTTTTTGTTGGCACACTTTAGACTGACCATGCTGGGTGGACGGATCCACTGCTGCCAGGCTAGAAAATGGTAAGGATTATCTATTTGACAGGTTACAGATTTAAAATAAGTTGTAACGGTTCATCTATTTTGTATTTGTAGGAAAGTTACCTTGGCAAAATTTCTTAAACGTTATAATTGAAGGACATGTCATGATAGGTGAAAAATCATTGTAGGTGATGAGTATAGGATACATGAAAAATTAAAGGAAATGAAAAGCTTGAATATGGTTGAGATGACTTTAAATGTGTCCTGGAGTGTTATTCAATCTTCATATAGTTGTGTGTTATCTGGAGATGCTGGTTAGTTCCTTTCACTGTTTCAATTACTTGGTATATTTTTTTTCAGCAGCATGTTTAGTATATAACCATTTAATGGAGCTCTTAGCATTACACATATACACAGGGCTTTGAAGTTAGGTCAGATCTAAGTCACCTTATCATGGTGTTTTTCTCAACCAAATTTGGAAGGGGCCCCAGGGCTCCCTGGTTTGCCCTGGTTGATAATGAAAAAAAATGGATGCAAAGGCACCATCACCCACATTTAAATAAAATCTTTAAACACTGCTTTAATCTATAAAATCTTGTATTAATTGAATTATGTTTACCTCTCTATGCAAAGGTGTTATTTGGAAAGGGTTTATCAGCTGCAATTAATGGCTTCATTAATGCATAATAAATCACACACTGATTCGAATGAGAACAGCTCTTTGCATTGTCACGTTGTGGAATATCTCAAGCAGGGTGCTTTTGCTTTTTCTTGTTAGCATATTATTGTCTTTTACAGTTTGACACATTGTAGCCTATGTGCAAACAACTGCTAACTGCTTGCTCGTTGGAGGAACTGTTGGGTTCTCTATCATTTTTAGGTAAAATGTCTTGAGATAATGCATTTTATGTTTCTTTTACTAGAAAAAGTAAAAAGAAATCAAGAATAATAGATACAAACGTACAAGTTAGAGAGCAGTGCAATAAATGACTGATAAAGATTTAATGAAAGGTCTGGATTTAAATTAGCAGAGAGCTGCAACAGTTAATTGCACATATGATGAGCATAACAACTGAATGCTGTTTGCCATGTTTAGCTCTGGGGACAGACAGCAGACCAGTGCCAGGTGACATGAAGGATCAGTTTGGTTACAAACTAAGCTCCAAATTGGAAATGAATTTTGGTGCTAAATATTTCAATGCTTTATAGACTGATAGCAGTATTCTTGAATCAGCTATTGGAGCTATAAAACAGTTGGAGTTGCAAAACACAAAAAGAACCAAAACACAAAATGACTATGATAGATGCAAAAACAACCACATAGTGACACCACATCATTGTATTGTATTCCATTTATATTTGATCCTTTTACATCTATTTTATTCTCCTAAAGATGTATGCATTTTATTTATTTTACCTTCTTTCATATTTTGATTGTTAATATTGTTTTTTACATGAAAATTGTTCAAAACTGTGCTTTGAGATTTTGAATAGCTTTTTAAAATTATTTGTATGCGCCTGTACAGCACCTTACAAAGAGACACAAAACAATTACAAATATACACAAAATGACCACATGCGAAGCAAAAAAGTGAAACATAAAGACCCAATATAACCAAAGGGCCACAACAGCATCAAGATGGAACAATGCCTCACCACCCATCCCATTCCGTGTTTGTACCTTTTATACAGAGCGCTGGGGTAGAATAAAGATGCACCATTTCCTAAAGAGAAGTGACAGGTTGAAGTTGATTCATTTAGATTTATATATAGTGTAGATTTTAATAATCTGTTCTTTTCCTCCCTGCTTCACAGGCTGATTCTTGATGTTGACCAGTCTACAACAGAGGAACGACTGGAGATGATTTGAACTAAAAACAAAGCCTGTACATTTTTCCCCTCAAACTGTAGTGTATATACTATATATAGTATATTTCTGTCTTTTGATTGACTCTGTGTAAAATGCCTTTAATCTTCTGCATCAGTCTTGTAAATTCTTCATCTCATTCTGATTATTTTTTACACACCACGACTTCTTAACCACAGTTGAATGACAGTTTACCTTATTTCAAGGTTCGGGTTGGTGTGAATATAACAGGCTTGTATTTATTTCTACATTATGAAATTTTCAACTTCTTTCAATTGCAACCAAATAACAAAGTTAATTGAACATATATATATATATATTTGTATGAGACAGTCACATAACCTTTTCTGTGTCACTCTAATATCCCAGTATTAAATTGTAGTGCCTAAGTAGTGGGATTGGGTGGTTTGGGATGCAGGGTGATTTAGTTTCATTGACATGTTCCTTATGAAATGGTTAGAACTTGTACCATGGCATCAATAATTTTAAAAATGTATTCTCTCTTCATCTCAGATTAGATCCAGATTATGACAGACTCTGAAGCCTCAAGTCTTGGGGAGAATCCCCCGCCCTACATGATCTTTGTGGTGGTGTTCCTCTTCTTCCTCACTGGACTGCTGGGCTTCCTCATCTGCCACCTGCTGAAGAAGAAAGGCTACCGCTGCCGAACTGGAGACATGGACGATGAAGAAGAGGAGAAAGTTGGAGGAAATACAGATGGTGGGTTGAGAAAATTGTAATAGGCAAGAAAGTCACAATTACTGAAACTAGCTGTTTCATCTTCATTTTAGGTCATTGCAGTGGCAGCAGACCAAGCAGATTTAGTATCATTCAGTCGGTGGAAAAAATAGCCTTGTGTCTTCTGTGAATTAAAATAAGAACAACTCTGGGATGTCACCATGGGCAATTGACCTTTTCTTTTGACTTTTTTGCAGTGATACCATTGGTCAACAGGCCAAGTGTTGGACTTTTTTACGATGCGAAATTTCACTAAATTTTCACTAAACTGATTTGGCAGAAACGTCTACTAGTCTATCAGCAAGGCTTTTTTCTGTTGGCTCTTGGTTCTACTGCTAAAAACTGTAAGCTCTTCACAGCAACATGCACATCTAAAGCACAAACTACCAGTATAATTGCTCGAGTTAACATCACCTGACAAAAGTAGCCTGGCAGGAGAGACACTCCACGCTATGGTAGGATTTCATAACTAGCTGTGAAATAGCCGTGGCCAAGATGCCACCTTTATGCTTGCATGAAAAAAGAATGAACAGACACATTTTCAGTTTACCCATCAATATACAACCGACTCGTATACAAGGTTTTCTTGTTGCATTACAGGAAATGTAGGATCCAGTGATTTTGGAGTTCAAGCCATTTCTCTGCTGTTTTTAACTATGTCTGGTGTTTCAAGTTTCACCTGCATCAAAATGTCCACATTGTCAGTATTTGCTGAGAAGCATATCTATTGGGTAATGTTTTCAATTGAAGGCCTCAGTTAGTCAGCTGAAGACACATATGTGAAAAGCAGACATGTAGTTGTTCAATTTAGCATCTTGGCTCCTCTGGACAGAGATATCTATTGCATCCACAGGGACAACTTTGGGTTTCACGTTCCTTATATGAGGAAATTATGAGGCAATGTTGGTTCCTGATGTCCCCTGTCCCACGGGAAACCCACCATACAGTATAGAAGAAATATGTGCAAGGGGCGCGGTATAACTCTCTCAGGTTCCACGATTTAGAAAAACAAAACCAAGAAGAACATTTGCTACTTTGAAAGATCCATGCTTCCCTGCATCTGCAACACATGGATTATGAGTTACCATAATTAGAAACATGGACTATGTCAAACTCACATGCACACAGCTCTTCACAGCAAGGCCCTGCTCATCGGGCATACCTGAATGCAGAACCTCTTTGCTGTGAGGTGACAGTGCTAACCACTGAGAGAGGACATGGTCTGGATGCAATCTTAACTAAGAAAAAGGAACATCATTTATTTCTTTTCTTCTCTCACTGCAGAAACAAATCATAAAGTTATGCACGTCTTCAAAGTCTGTACTATAAGCACCAACACAAAGTTATTCAGACTCTCACTTCGATACATGCAATGCACACATACGCATCCTGAGTACGTGGAAAGGAAACATCACATTCTGAGTCAAATCCATTATATTTGGGCACTTACCTCACCCCTGTTTTAATTAGGTCATTTTTCTTTAATAGTTGACAGACTGTACAGATGTGGCATTTGGTTAGAGGGATTGCAAATTATATGGGTTAGCAGTGAACACCAACAGCATGAAAAACAAGGTTTTAAGGTTGTGACAGATTGTATTATTTATTTTTTTATCCAGTCAAACCACAAAGCTGAGGACAATAATTGAAACTACAAAATAAAAGTAAAATCACATTACTGATGGTTCACAATCAACTTTTTCACACTAATCAGTGTGATTTTATTCCTTGTTTTGCTGTATTTCAGAGGAGGATGAAGAGAACCAGGATACAGTGGAGCAAATCCTCAAGTGCATCATTGAAAATGAAGGTGATTAATACAAAATTACTGAAGTGTTTCTTGGGTTTCATTCTGTTTATTTTATACCGATTTTAGGGTAGCCTGCTTTAATCTGGTCATATCTTCAGTTTTTGTCCTGCTTCACTTTGTTCTGTTTCGCTGTTTGCTGCTTAGTGTTAAGATTCGGAACACAGGAGTACAGAGTGTGAAAGTGGTTTTCAAAGTTTTAATACAAAGATAGTAACAGGAATATTAAATATGTTGACAATAAAATAATAAACAGTTTCCAGTTTAGTGGTGATGATTGATTTGATTGAGACTGAGAGATCAGAATTAAGTGTATGCTTCCTGTGCCACTTCCTGCTACCCGCCCTGGGTAGCAGCCAATTTCTCCCTTTTCTAAATGTGCCACTGTATATTAGTAATTCCACCTAACACTTTTTGTTTATTGCTGCTCTAATATGGGTTCTTCTTGTCTCTAGCAAACATGGCAGCTTTCAATGAGATGTTGGGAAACCAAAATGTCTGTGTGCGCCATGACCCCAGGTAAATTCATTCAGCTGACAAGTGTAAACTGTGGATTAGTGTTGTATTGTGTTATTATTAGTGAATGAGAGCTTTCAGTCTTGAATTCACAAATTGTTGATTCAAATATTCTTATAGTAACCTATGTACAAATCTAGTAATGTACACATCAATTGAATGCCTTCAGTCTGAATGCTATGAATCAAAAAACACAGGACGAGATGTTAGAAAACTGTCCCTTGTGATAATAGGTGCCCGTCAATTGGGCACGGGAGACATCATCAGTAGTGTGTGCCCTCATATCACAGGGTGTTTCGGCCTTCCAACACTATACACCCTCCACAAGGGTGGCCCGCTGCAGGATGATCAGTCCTCAGCTTGTGTCCCATGGAGCAACAAATTTGCCCTATTGTTTAAGCCTGCAGCCAGCTAAAAGGTTGACAGGTGGGAGTTCTAATGGTTTATGCTGATGTACTTGGGGCCCAGCACGGGTCCTTCAGCCTGAGCCAAATCTATTGGCTGCTTCTTTCTGCCACCTCTGAGACTGCTCTGATGATCCTCTGCAGAGCCTGACCATGGCTTTCAAGTTCTTTCAGCAGTCTGATGGTGGATAACACCACAAATCCACTGCATCCCATTTCAACTGCTTAAACTTTGGGTTTTCCAGCCACGCTGGTTCACTTCTGCTGCTAACTCTGCATAGTGCAGCTTCTTACGCTCATAGGCCTCCTCAACTCAGTTCTCCCATGGGACTGTGAGCTCTATGAATTATGAATAGTTCCTTTTGGGTTGCCTGAAAATACTTTTATTGAAACCACTGACAATCGAAGAAAGTTTGGTTTGGTCCAAAAACTGACCAGTAACTGTACATGCACATTTTGAATGACCACTTTTGTACAGATGTTAACAAGCCTGCAAAACACAAAAAACAAACCTGCTATTTTTTATTTCACTCACAGGGATTCATCTGTCTATTTCTATCCTGTGATCCTTTGAAAAATATGTTTTTGGAATATCAGTTATTCGCACAACCAACACACTCAGACCCTTAAACTAGAACTCTGCTTCTGACACAAATTTCTTCTACATTTATTTGGATTTGGTTTACAAAACATGACTGTGCTTCCTAGCGGACACATATTTTACTTATGTGACACCCTAATCTATACAAGTATAAAAAACACAAATGTTCACTGGTCTTGAATTCAGACTGCTCAGAAAAGCATAATTCGAGTTTGTGACTATACACCCCTCAAAAAAAATTATATTCATTATAATTATATCGTCCAGGTTGCGTAAGGACTCAATTGGTGGTGTTCCTCCCCATCACCACACAGTCCACTCAGGCACCGACCACAACTCCTGCCACCTCTGTGCTCAGGTTCAATCTAAGAAGGGCCGCAGACAAAGCAGAACCCCCCGATTCAGACAACGGCCTGGAGAACAGACCGTATTCTCTGTTGGCAGGTAACAGAATATGTTTAGACCATTTGTGCATGTTTGAAGAGAGAAAGAATGTCACAAAATAAAATGCATAGAGATGATACACAATATTAAACAAATCAGAAAAAAAGGACAGGTTTCATCCTTTATATAATTTTCCCCTTAGATTTCGGGTGACGCACACTGATAAGAAGCTCCACGGAGGTTCGAATCCATTGGTCATTTCAGGGGACCAGCTGGACCAATCCCAGGATAGTGAGGAGCAGAAGGAGGGCGGTTACAACCTGAGGAGCATGTTCAAGGATGTCCGGACCTCCTCAGCGAGTGCCAATGGGGTCGTCCCAAATGTGGGGAAGCGAAGGAAGAGTGTGACCATATTTGGGTTGAGGCGGGGCAGCGAAACTGTTAGCAATAAAGAGGTGGAGGGGACAGGTTGGGAGGCCGGAGGCGTTAAATTTGCCATTCAGAAGCAACCTATTGTATTAGAGGAGCTGGTAAAGGCAGAGAACATTGAGATTGCTTCTGAATGTGGTACTAAATGTGGTTCTACACCTGGAACTGAGCTCTCACAGAATGAAATGGCTGCTCCACTGCAAAGTGAGGTTGAAACATCAGGTTCTGTTAACTCTCCCTCTTTCCAAAGTAAGAAACAACCACATGACTTTAGCTCTGGTCCTGAACCTCGTATGAACCTAAAAATTCAACCTTCAGTTGGGAGTACGGCAATCTCTGCCCTGAGCTCAGTTCTCATTTCATCTCCCACTATGCCCGGACAGACATATACTGCAACAGAGAAACAGGGACATGGTGGAGACAAAATTATGAAAAATGAACAGGATTATGATCCTGGGCCTCTACAGACTTCTACACCAATTATCCCTATGACAGGAGCCATTCCAGGTTTTACTCCTGTCATTCCTGCTGGTCAGAGTGAATCCTGTTCAAGCACAGTTTTTCAAGTCAACCAGACTCCCCCTCACCCAAGCTCCAGTCCAGTTGTTGGACACGACTTTGATGCTAGCCTAGCTTTTATAGGTTTAGGCTCATCACATCAGTTTTCATTCCCAATCAAGACCCCATCTTCAACTTCTTTGTTAAAAACGCCTACATCACCTCAGACTGTCATGTCTAGCCCTGAACTCAGCTCAAGAAATAAACCACCAGAGGCTACAAAAACAGCTCGATCACCTGCCCTCACTCCAAGCCCCAAACTCCCATCAGGTCAAGAGATGTCCAGCCAATCAAATATCGCCAGTCCATTAGAAGCCCAAACTCTCTTACCTACTCTAAGTAGCAGCCCCAAACTTGACACATTTCCTGTATCATCACAACAACACAACATCACAACTCCCTCCTCTGCTCCAACTGGACAAAACCCAGGTTTCAGAAGTTCATCTCCTTTGAAGTCAGAAAGTGTCATGTCTGTAAAATCAATGACCACAGGTGATATGGTTTCAAGCCCACTATCTATAAAGGAAGAAGAGCAAGCCAGAGAAGAGAAGACTGAAAAAAAGATGCTTGGGATTCTCAAAACAGCTGAACTTTCACCAGTTGAAGGAGGTGTTAAAGGTCCTGCCCTTTCCTTTCCCTCTGATCATGTTCATAAAGATAGACAAAGCAGTTTTCATCTGTCACCCTGCAGCCCATTGTCCACCTCCGCATCAGGAGGGAGCACAATAAGTAGTATGACTGTCATCAAAGCTAGCCCTGAAAGCAAGAGAGAGTTTTCTGTTGTCACTATGATGGAGGATGAAGAATCCACTTCATTATCAAAAGACCCGAAAAGAGAAACATGTAAAGTTGGGGCTGAATTTGAGAAAGTTGAATTTAGTCCAGCAGTTGGTCAGGGAGAAAAGTTTTCTGTTTCAGGTAAGGGGCAACCTGACAGTCAAAGAGGAGAGACTAGGCTGATGTTGAGCCAAGAAAAAGAAGACATGGTCGAGATGGAAGATATAAAAGACTGCAAGGTGATGCAGTTGCAAGAAGCAGAGAGAGTGAGGGAGGAGGTGGAGAAGACGGTAGACACTCTGTTGACACAGGACTGAGAGTTGAATTCTCAAGATGGTGAGAAATTGAAACCATGTGATAATCCAAAGAAAGAAGTATGGCACCACTCAGCTGACTAAAGGAAAGGAAAAGTGAATAAACACTCCTTCGATCATTTAACCACAGCTGAACATATTGCACTAAGACTGGACTGGCAGGTTAGGGTCAGTTGTGGAAAGTCACCAATGATTTCACACCGATTTTGAACCCAACACAGCTAACCTTTTTATATAACATGTTTTTGTGTTTTAGCCTTTTCTAGCGATACTAGTCACATGGTTCTAAGGATGGAAATGTCAGTTGACTTTGGCCTAGGCTAATATATCCTAACTGTTGGTCAATCAGTGGTACCCAGGTGATGAATTAATCTGACTATTTATGATTTCCCGATTGTTCCTCTAACACCATCATGAGGTTAATGTTAGTAAATTATCTCAATAGCCATTAAGCTGTATCAACAGGATGATGAATAGTAATGATGTTTTGAGATATCTACATTATTCATTCCAACAACCTTGGTTGTTACTCTTACAGTCAGAAGGTAAACTTGTTAACTACTGCTGTTGTCCTTCAGTCAAGTCAAGATTTCTGGCAAATTTCTTGAGTTATTTTATGATTTTATTTGTTATACTCCCTTTGCCTTGTTTAATTCCTAGCTGGTGATTAGGCAATAGATCCAGAGAATGAATGGAAGCTTGTTGTTATCTAAAAGCAATTAAAGGTTCAGTGTGTAGAATTTAGTGAAATCTTGTGGGGAAATTGCATGTTGCAGCTGAATACCCCTCACATCATCCTCTCCTTCCAAACATGAAAGAGAACATTAGAAGCCTTCAGTTGTCATAAAAACTCAAAAGGTGTTTAGTTTGTCCAGTCTGGACTAATGTAAAAACATGGCGGCCTCCGTAGAGAGGACCCGCTCAATGTAAATATAAAGTATTTAAATATAAAGGGCCTTTTCTGGGGTAAAAAAAAACACAATTCATACAATTCTGATTAAACACAAGTGAAAACATATTGAGGATTATTTTATATTCAATTTGTGCCAATAGATCCCTTTCACCTTAATCTTACACACTGAACATTTAAGTGTATGGGCATAAAAACACAATCGAACCTTTGACTCACTACTACTAATGAAATGCACAACCACAAAGATGATTGTTACACCTCACAACACATACCAAGGCATGATAGTGAGGTTTCCCATAGGCT